AGGGGTACAATCTCCTGGGTGAGGGGGGGGGGTCGGGTGGCCCCGCAGGAGCGGGCGGCGCTCCGTACCGGTACCATGGGACGGCGCAAGAGGGAACTCGCCCGTCGGGCGGTGAGACAAAAGCTAAACAAAGGCTAAGGCTACGCGTTTCTTTTTTTGTGCTGTGAACGATGGCCGATGGCCGGTGTGTCAGTTCCAAGGGTCGTGCCGCCGTTTATGAAGTGTGGATAGGACGGGCTAAGGAATATTCTCTGTGCCTGATGCCGCGCACGCGACGTGCTTTTTTCCGTGCAGTGGCTTGTTGCGTCTGTACTGATTTGAGGCTTGCGTGTGCATAATTTAGCATAGAACGGTCACGGTTGCGAGGGACTTGCTGTGGCACTTTATGAGTCGCTTGTGTGAAACGCCCGCCCCTCCCCCCCCCCCGAGCACGGAAGGCACAATAGCGAGGGTGTCATTTGCTGTCCTTCTTTGCACAACGCCGTTGCTAGTGTCCTCAAGGGCAAGAGGCAAGGGGTCGACAAGAGCGTCGCGCAGGGCTTGAAAACGTCGTGGCCGTTGAGATCGATCGGTCGTAGCCAACCGCATACGTGATGAATCATGAGACTTTGGTGTTATTTTTTCCCGTTTCGTGCCGCCACACACATGTAGGCACCGGCGACATTCCTCAGGAGCAGACGGAGGAGAGAAGCAGCAGCATCCGGGAGAGACACTCTGCTGAGCACAAACCAAGGAGAATATCTGTGGGGACCCTGCTAGGTGAGACAATGACGTCCTGCTCGGCTAGTCTAGTGTAGCGGCGTTTTCGATGCCGCTTACTGGTCGAGGAGAGTGAGTGATGTGCCGGTGGCTCTTCTGTCGAGGGATGCTTTGTCGTTGCCCTCGATGAACCCGCTCGAGTTAGCCCCCCAATCCGCAGCGTTAGGATCGTGCTTATCGAGCCCGCGCGCGCATAAACCGCATCCTCTGTCACCGGTGCATGTGCCCTGAAGCCGTAAGACCTCCCTCTCTTAGTTCCCGTTTCCTTGCCGCCTCTCTGTTCCCTCCTAATATCTTACCATCCCTCACGCCCGAACGGCAACTACAGGCAAGACCCACCACCCTCAGACGCGTCCTCGAGATCGGATAGACAGCCAGTCCGTGGGCACCGAAGGCTCTTACTCCGGAGAGGCCTCCTCCATGCCCGGCGGCAACATCGGCGGCAACGGTACCGGTGGGAGCGGGGGTCACCCCGGGGCAGCGGCCACCACGGGAAGCGGGGCCGCCTACGGCTACGCCGGAGGCGGAGGGGGAGGTGGAGGAGGGGACGGAGGAGGCGGCGGCGGCGGCGGCGGCGGCGGTGGTGGCGGAGGCGGTGGTTGGCGGCAGCGGAATTTCGTTGGCCTTGGCGGCTCCGCCGCCCGGGCGGGCTACGGGTTCGTGGTGACGATGGACCTGGAGCCCGGGATGAGCGGGAATCGGCGGGCTCTGTGGACTTGCTTCTGCAGCTTCAAGACGAGGCGGAAGAGGTGTGTGCTTTGAGCCCCGAGATGAGGGAGAAGATGTACGGTTCTTGCGTAGCGCCTGCCTGTATGTCCAGTGGTGGGAGGTAGTCGTGTTTTGTCGGTGAGGGGCACAGCTCACAGCTGCAGATGAGCTCTTGTGTCTGCTGGCTTTTGGGGGGTTGCGGTTTGCGGGAGAATCACGCCTCACTCGCTGTGTCGGACGATTAGATCGACCCGGTAGTTGACGTGCCCTTGGACAGGACAGGACAGGACAGGACAGGATAATCACGGTGTTCTGGGAGGTGGTTTGGTCCCTTCTCGCCCTTGAAGACGCTTTGTCAAATGTTATCCAATGTTGTCGCTGTCGGTGCTGATTGGCACAGCTACAAGATGGGTCGGCTGAATCTTCACGACCTGCACGAGAGGAACCTGGAAGCGATGCAGAGGGTGGTCGATCTGGGCCGGCAGCTTGGCCGCCCGATCTTCACGAGCTTGTGGTCCAGTCGAGCAGACCGCCCCAACGTGGGATCATCTGGTGAGTGAGGTGCCAGGTATATTTGGAAGTGGCTCGTGTTGTGCTGTTTTTTTTCATCGCGGCTGTTTTTGTTTGGCCATTCCTCTCTTGTGTTTCCGCGCGCCGCACCCGGGTGTAGCGGGTGTAGGAAGCTATTGTGTTTCGACTCGACTCTTGATTGTGTTTACTCACGAGCCACGGCCGTCGATCCCTTTTCCTTGCTTGCGCGCAAAATTTCACGTTCGTTTTTAGCCCTTGACTGTTTCTATCCCCCCACCCCCCTCTTTGTCGTTTTTTTTGCGTGTCTTGAAAAACGTGGTTTCTTAAAACATTGTTGTATGGTTCTTTTTTTTCTCCACCGACACCAGCAGCACCGGGAAGCAGGGGAAGCCCGGGGGCCAGCGACAATATCAACAGCAACAACAGCAACAGGCGCGTGTTCGCTTCGCGCCCCGGCAGTCTCTTCGATGTGGGCAGCGCGATAGGCGGAGACGGCAGCTGCTTGGGCTCCACGCTCGGGTTAGGGTTGGGCTCCACCTTGGGCTCCACTACCGGCGGCGGTGGCGGCGGCGGTAGCAACCCCGCGCCGCCCCCTCCCCCTCCAGCGGGAGGCACGGCCTCTCGCTCTGCTCGACACCAGCTCCCGGCAGGCTCGGGCATCCTGTCGGAGTTCGCCCTGTCGGCACTGTCGGCGAACGGGGGCGGGGGATCCTCCGAGCTCTCCGTGGCGATCGGCGGGCGGGGAGGAGGAGCCGCGGGCGGCGGGGGCGGGGGCGGGGGCGGGGCTTCAGTAGCCGGGGGAAGGGCGGCGGCGGCCTCGGCCTCTGCCCAGCACGCGTTGCAGTACCTCGGCAGCCCTCTGCCCTTGTCGCCGGCCACGAGGGCGGGGGTCGTGCCTCCCGGATCGGTGCTGTCGTCGTTCGCGTCGCCTGGCTCCGCTAGCTTGAGGTATTTTTTTTTCCAGTGTGTGTTTTGCAAGCACCCCAGTGCCGTCCCTGCCCGTTTGCCGTTCACATACCTGCTGAAGAAATGCCCGTGATGACTTAGGGGACCTGCCTGAGTCTCTGGGTGCAGGGGGGAGTGAGTGCTGCTCAAGAGACTTCCTCCGATGTACCCCACATTTGCCACGTGCAGACGCCGGGGTCGGGGGCCGGCGGTCTTGTGCTCCTCCCATGAGCACTCTGCAGATGATGCCTGAATCTGGTGCTGCCAACCCTGATTGTTTTTGCTAACTTCCTACACAACACCTGCGGTGGTTGTGCATGCATCAGGTCCTCCGCGCGATCGTGGCAAATGTACGAGGACATGGAGGCTGACGAGGACGGGGCGACTGCCGCCGCAGCTGCCGGAAGGTCGAGGGCGTCGCCGAGGCAGAACTACCGCCTGCTGTCGGTGAGTCTTAACAATGAGTAGTAGTCTAGCCCCGTGCGTCCAGGTTGTTGTGTTAGCGTTTTCTCTCTGCGGTGGGTTTCATTCGAAGAATCGAAGAAAAGGAGCTTTTGACAGACGAGAATGCTGGTGTGTGTATATGCTCCATGTACATGGCATGCACCATGTACATGGCATGCACCATGTACATGGCCGAAAAAATCACTGCCGCCTCCCACGGGCTTGTTTGTCGATCCGCTGCTGTGATGCTGCGCACCCTCGGAACAGGATTCGCGGCGGGGAAGGGGCTCGATATTGTCGCAGACGGTACCCGTGCAAAGGTGCGGCGGGGCAGCGAGCAAGGGCGGCGTCGCTCTGGGCGGCGCTAGCACGCACCACGCCGGCGGGATTGCTGCTGGCGGTGGCGGCGGCGGCGGTGGAAGTTCCAGTGGCAGTTTCAGGAGTGGCACGAGGGAAGACTACCGACGGAAGATCCTACAGTCTCGGCATCCTTTCCCTCCGCACTTCCACATTCTGCTATTCATGGACAGGTGCGTCGTCCTGCGCCCGGCAGAAGTTGTAGGAGCAGAAAAATAGTGGTTTGTTTTTAACGGATGAGTTCCGAGGGTATCCACGGAATTTGACTCCTTGGTAGCTGGAGACACGTATGGGGCATTGCTCTCCTTCTTGCTGCCTCAACTTTGTCCACTCACTCGTGTGACTGCGGGCGATAATCGGTAATCCACTTCCCCAAACTAAATAAAGTAAGTTACGCCTCGGCAGTGAAGATGAGAAACCGAGCCCGCCTGCCCCACCCCACCAATCCCCCCCAACGTCGCAAGTGTTCGCACCAATGTGACCTTACTCTTGCAGTGTGGCCTTGGCCTCTTGGCCTCTTGGTGTGCGTTGTGTTTTGATCGCGGAAGTCGGCAGTTCTTGCTTACGCATTACACCCGCAACGCCGCACACCACCCAGCCGGATGGATCGCCTCACTCACGCTTTGTACGATAGACCTATCCGAAACCAGCGAGCCTGCATCCCAATCCTCCTCCTCCTCCTCCTCCTCCTTCTTTTCGTTGCCGCTGCCCGCCGCTAACCTCAGGAGCTACCTGTACTACTGCCCCTACACCGGCGAGCGCATGGTGCTCCCGGTCGATGTCTTCGGGCCGCGCGCCCGGCCGCCGCCGTTCAAGCAGCTCAGGGTGCACCCGGACGGGGGCATGGGCCCGATTCCCCTCTACACCGGCTGGACCCTAGGGCCCGTGCCCAGGCACGTCGCTGCCTGGGCTCAGGCCGCGAAGCGGACGTCCGCGGACCTGGAACACCAGAGATCCGGCGGCGAGGGCGGGGCGGGAGACGGGGCGGGAGGGATTGCGGCCGGGGTGGAGGCGGCCGCGGCGGCCGCGGCGGCGGAGAAGGAGAAGGAGAGGGGAGACGCGCTCCTGGCGAGCATCACGGCGGGTCAGCCGGGGTCGAAGCTGCCGCTGGTGCCGGCGCCCGACGAGACTTTCGTGTCGAGAGACACCGGTATTACGGGTGAGTGTCAGCGCTGGCGGGTTGTGTGTGGGTACTTTTGATTGGGTTGGGTTGATTCGGTTGAGTTGGCAGCAAGTTTCTCCCTCCCCCTCCGTTTTTGTAGGGATGAGAGGTCAATGGTCTAAACGACTGCGGCATGCACGGCTCTAGAGTACACGCACACGGCAAGTAACGATGTTATTGCCCCAGCCAACGTGCATTGGCAATATTTGTTGAGTTTTTATTCTGGTATGAGTCGAAGCGTCTCGGTGCTTGAGAATGACGAAGGATTATGTTGAGTTTTTCAACAGCCTTGCTCAGGCTTGGCCTTGGATCTACTGGGGACTGCTACCAACATTACGTTTATTTGTTTTTTTTTTGTTTCTTCTGCTCGTCTACCCGCGTGCATGAATCATTTTTCGCACACCCTCAGTGTTGGTGGAAAGCCTCAGCCCTCGGTTTGCGCTGTTCCTGGTGTCGGCCTTGATGCTGGAACAGCCGGTGCTGTTGGTGGCGGCACCCGACAGCCACGAGCTTCTCATGCACGCTGGTGAGATGTGGCCCCCGTCATCGTTGTTTTCGTTGGTGTTGGTGCTCTTGCTGTGGACTCATTTGGTTTTCTGAAGCTCGTTCTTCGTACTTCATTTATCGGGGCTTTTTTTTCGGTGTTACCAACCTCCCCCCCCCTCCCCCCAAAAAATAAGCAGGAAAATGAGGCGTGTATAGGGCAAAATGTCGCAGCACTCGCGGCTACTTCACTTGCGGTTAATTTCCTGAGTGACGGACCGAGATTGATGAAATTCAATCGGTCAGGGGCCAATCCAGAAATTTGATATTGCGCTTTGGTCCGACTCGAAGCTGAGCGTCCCGAAAACAAATACGCAAATGGAATTCCACTTTAATAAGATGAGGTCCACGAAGGTAAAAAAGCTACCCTCGTTTGCCCCCAGCGAATTCGGGTGGTGCCCAAGTTCTTTTTTTCTGGCGATCTCGTTTCATCCCATCGGCTGTGCCGGGCCGGCCGTAAAAATAAGGTAAACGCTTGCATTTGCCGTGAGTTGTTGCACGAGACAGAAACAGAAAGAGTTGCTGTTGTGGTGTTGCCCCTCGTGGCCGTATTATTCGGCCGTTTGCAATCTCGTCAGGAAAAAACTCAATTCCTGCATCTTTGTTCCCTTGTTTTCGGCGATGCTTGCATGGGACGGTTTGCGTGTGGCGTGTCTCTCCCACAGCGAGCGGATTGCTTCGGCTGTTGCGGCCCCTCCAGTGGCAGCACCTCTACATCCCCCTGCTGCCTATGTCCTGCCGGCACGTGCTCAAGCACGCCGTGGACGCCAAGGAGCCCTTCCTCATCGGCACCTGCACCACTGTCCTCGAAAGGTAACGCGGGATCGATCTCCGAAGATGTGTGGAATGGAAAGTCTTGTTCTTGCAGGAGAACCCCCCAAGTCTGAGGAGATCGGCGAGGCATTCAATTGGGTGTAAAATAGGCGTCTTTCGCCCGCCCCCTTACCCCCCTCATGTTGATGCATTGAATGAGGTCATGGGTCACCCGCATGCCCTCTCGACTGCTGTCGGTTCACGCGATGTTCCCCCACCTGCTTTCTGGGGTGCCATGATCCTCCATCTGGTGCTTTTTGACGCCGGCAGCTTCTCCCGGCCTGGCCACGGGTACGCCGCTACCTCTGCTGCCTCTGCTGGTTTCGGCGGCGGTGGTGGCGGGAGAGGGGACGGCAACCTCACTCCGCCTCCAAACGACGCTCAGAACTCAAGCGGTGGTGGTGGGAGCAGCAACATCCCTCCTGCGGTGAGCTCAAGTGGGGTGATACGTATGATAGTTGTTCACCGCCATTCACACACGTGGTCAAGAATATGTGTTGGCGAGGTCTTGGTTGGGAGGTCTGTGCCACGTGCTGTGATACCACTGCGCACGATTTGGGATTCGAAGTGTTTTCGTCTGGGACGAAGGAAGGACGAAGGAAGGTTTTCCGATTTTCTCAGGTCGTACTGCAGAGATCCACACTACCCTTGAACGGTGGCGATATCTCTTGACGTACGCAAGCGGCACTCATTTCGGCGAATTTTAGCGAACCACGAAACCTACTGCGGGGCTGCCAGCAAGAGTGCGCGCTGGAAGCTGTGTTTTGCTGCTGACGAACGTCTTGCAATTACCAAAGGGAAGGTATGCATACATGCATGGAGAACTCCTGCGCTGAAATCTCATTCCATCTCGCCCTTATTCCATGCCGTTTTTGGCATCCTCTACCACTTGTTCCACTTGCACAGGCGCTGTACCACGCCCACGCCCTGTCCGAGGGGGGTCAGAGGCACATCACCATCGCCGATTTGTCGCAGGGAGTGATTCACCCGAGCAAGGTGAGCGGACAGGACAGGCAGATAGGTGCTGTCGCATTTTTTTGGATTGAAGCAAAGCCAAAGCCCCTTCCCTTAGCTGTTCTTGGTTGTGGGCCTTTTCAGCGCTGTGTGTTTGCTCGAGACAGTTTGGAGAATCAAGCCGCTGTTGTTCGTTGAGTCAGTGAAAATGAAAAACGCTTGTTGGTGCCTGGCAGGTGCACGGCGTCGCTTGGTATGTCGGTATGCCACCATGCCACCCCTGTCAATCTTTGTGAGTTGAGCAGGGCTCGACAAACTGCGATGCTCAACAAAGTATTCCTACCCTACCTGATTTTTTCACAAGGGTGCACCGTGCGCTGCAACGCGCCTAGCGGTGAACCTTGCCGTCTTCTTCATTTTTGTAGGCTGCTGTTGACAAGAAAGACGCTCAAGCGTTGGTGCCTTCGTCTAACTTGGCACACTTGCACCTGCTGCTGTGTTGTTTTTCTTTTCCGAGCAGATGCTCGAGTTAGCCGCTGCGTGCACCATCGGGGCGTCGGTGGACATCGATTCGGACCCTGAGATGCGCTCGCTCATCTTCTCGCACTTTAGAGTAAGTGGATTGGGTATCCGTGGCAGCAGTGCGCGTTGGTATTCATGTGGTTCTTGGTCATCGTTACTGTAACCCGTGTCACATTTAGGCGTTGACGGTCATCACAGGCGAAACACAAGCCTGGTACGATGTTTGTTTTTGTTGTTTCGAGCAGGTGTTGTCAACCGACTCGTAGATAGCACCTTCGTTTGGGGAGTACCGGTGGAGTTCGGTCAGAGTGAGGGGCGCGTTTGCATGGTCTTGCTCTTACCTCTGGCATGAACAAGTCGCGGTGCATGCATGCCCAGTGTTGTTCCCTTAGCTGGTCTGGTCTTACTTTGTAGCAGAGAGTTTCACCTTTTTGTGGTGGTCGCCGCGATAGCTCGCAGTGCTACACGTCCCTCGCCCTAGGGCCTGTCGCGTGTCTTGCGCTCATCATGTGCCGCACTTCCGCCTCCCTTGGGCTGGCTGCGATTGAGCAGGGTACCCAGAACAGGGGGTCAGCAGACCGCAGCCGCACCACCGGTTGGGGGTGGTCGGGCGGGGGGAGCGGTGCGGGCCCCGTGGATCCGGGAGACTACGACACGGACGAAGCCAACGCCTCGATGGCGATGCTGCCTGCTGTCCCCTGCAGGCGAGTGGGACAGAGGACAGGGCACCGCAATACAGCCCACAAGTACAAGTATTCCCCCACCGATGCATTATAGTTGTGACAGCCCGCCACGCTCGAGTCAAGGGGCGCGCGGGGGGCGGGGGGGGGGGGGGGGGGG